GCGAGCTTACAAGTTTCCCTTCGCGATTTGTCTTTTAAATATTCTAGCCACTTATCTGAGGGTGCAACTTTCTCCAGATGCTCATTGCGTTCGTTTCGTACCGTGATTTCATTTTTCTCTGACTGAGCCATACTCCCCCCGTTATGTGTGTAGTCGTTTACTTCTTCTCTTGTGGATAGCGCTGCTTTGTCTATCGTACTATCTCACTAGGCTCCCACATATCTATTTTTATTCCTGATCAGCCTTCTACATCTTGCTTTTTAATGTCAATTATAACTAGAGCCCACGATTCATTAGCCCTTCCCTCCAATAAGTAATGTATACTCGGCTCTTCTCGTTTATCTTTCAAAAACTCCTTTGCTTGTTTCGTGCTTTCTTCTTTTTCTATCATATAAATTCTCTGCTCTTCTGTAATAAACTCTTGACTTTTATTCGTAACGCTAGGTAACGCTGTGTTACAATTCGCTATTATTATTTCTTTCGACGGGTTCGTCGTCAGTTGCAAAGGCTGAAAAACATGGTTTAGATTTTAGATTTCAACTCAAGATTTATTTATTTAACAGACTAAGAACTCAGAGACGTGCTCAGAGGTCCTGTGTAGCCTAAGCCGTACATACATTCAAGCATTTCAAAGAGGCTACTATATATTAGCGCCCAAGAATAAAATCGCAATAATTACATTATTAAAATAAAATAATAAAAAAAATAAATAAATAAAAATCATAAAATTAATAAAAATGTAGTAAACAAAAAATAAAATCAATAACAATAGTAATGGTAAGCATAATTAAATAAATAGTACAACACGATAAGATTTTGTTACAATTACCAATTAACGCGAAGTGTTGAGCACAAGCTGGTAGTATTTACAAAGTTATCTTTTGAAACACGGACGCTGGTATAATTCACGTATAGCAACTAGCAAACCATTCCACATACTGGCGCTACCAACGAAGAAATAATCATGTAGAAACTTAAGGGCGGCAGGAGGGATAAGCAGATCTAGGTGAGATGCCCGTTTTGTGCCAGGCATATCATGAGGCCTAAATTTTAATTTGCACGATAGATACTGTGGCTGACCACTGCGCAAGATTGAAGCAAGGAATGAAAGCGTAAGATATTCAACCCGAAGGGAAAAGGGAAGTATATTCAATTTTTTGTAATCAGATGTGATGTGCTCGTGCTTGCATGTTCCTGTTACGAAGCGGATAGCCGCATTCATACTCCTGAAAAGTTTTGTTTTAAGCTCCTTAGAGAGTGAAAAAAACAAACCAGCACAGTAATCAAAGTTTGGCAGTATGAGCGATTTGACCAAGGTAAGCTTATAATCACGAAGGAATGACAATCCGCATTTACGAAAGCGATACAGTGCAGAAGAACATTTATTTGATGTAGTACAGTACTGCGCTCGAAAGCTCAATGTAGGATCAAGCACAATGCCTAGTATTTTTAGTGTATCAGAAGTTTGAACTATGAAACCATCAAGCAAAATGTCAGGTACATGGGTTTTTTGAAGTCTACTCATAAAATTACGTGAGCCCAACCATAAGGCACATGTTTTTTCCTTATTGATAAGTGGGCCATTAGAAAGAGCCCATAATAAAATATTATGTAAATCCTCATGAGTCCTACGCACAATACTCGCCAATTCATCAATCGAACCATGAAGATGTATACACAGATCATCAGCATAAAGATGATATGAGCAGTGCTTAATTGCAGAACTAATGACATTCATGTAAAGGGAAAAAAGCAGTTAGCCCAACACCAAGCTCTGTGGCACCCCCGAGTGATTATATAAAGGTTTACAGCTTTCACCCTTTGACGAAATTACAACTTGAGACCTATCAGTGAGGTAAGATTCAACCCAGTTGCAGGCAGAGCTCGAAAATCCCAAACTGTAGAGCTTATTATAAAGATGTTTGATGTTAACAACGTCGAAAACTCGTGAAAAATCAATAGCAACCAAGAGCGTAACCTGCTGCTCATCAATAGCAACCCTAATATCATCCACCAGCTTGATAACTGCTGATTGAGTGCTATGAAACTTTCTATATCCTGATTGCAGTGGATCAAGTATTTTTAGTCGCGTTGCATATTCCAAAATTTGTGCATGTACAATAGTTTCCAAAACCTTAGAAGTAGCACTCAACAAACTGATAGGTCTGACATCTTTTGCTCTTTTAGGGTTCCTGACCTTGGGAATCGGGCGTACATTAGACTGCTTCCATAATGCTGGGAAAATTCCACTTTGAAGTGATGCATCAAAGATATTCATCAGTATAGGAACAACGTAGAGAATACAATCACGTAAAAAGCGTAGGGGTATACCATCAGGCCCAGTTGCATTTAAGCTCCCCCTTCTTATAGCATTAACGATATCGGATGCCTCGACTACCCTAAAAAATAGTCTATCGTCATTATGGATGTCAATGGAAGAGGTCCGAGTAGTCGGTGGCACAACACTCGGATTGCCTATGAAAAATGTATTCAGTGAATCAAGGTCAGTTGGTAGAGTATCGCAATGAATGACACCCCTCGACCGACCAGCCCTATTAACACAGTTCCAAGAATCCCGAGGTGACCTACAGTTCGAAAATTGTTGTCGGTTGTAGCAAAAAATAGCGTTGCGTATAGCAGGCTTAGCACGGTTACGGAGATGATTATGGATTTCCCTATCGCCTAGTACGCTATCTTTCCTTGTACGCCTGAAAGTACGACAAGCAGCACTTCTTGATTTTAAAAGTCTGCATAAGTCAGCCGTCATCCAGGGCGTAGGACGCCCCGAGCGAACAGGAAAAGTGTGCAAAGAGGCATGATTATCATACAGATAAAGAAAATTCTGTGAGTATAGTGATACTTTTAAACCGATGTCAGGGCAATCAAGAGTAGCTTTCCAATCAAGTTATACGAAATCACGATGAAGACAGTCTAAATCAAAATTTTTAAAATTGCGACGCATAATCGTCGATGGTGTAGATTGTGGGTTATCGTATTTTAAACAAACAAGCAGAATATCATGTAGTAATATACTGGGCACAAAGTGCTGCGAATAAAACGCCAAATTTGAATCATCAGAAAGACAAAAGCAGTCAATTGTTGAGAACGGATTACCTACATGATGAGTCTGATTAAAAGGTAGGCGCTTAAGATTAGTAGCTTGAAGTGAGTCAACCAATGTGTTTCTAGTCGAAAGAGTAGAAAACCAGTCTATATTAAAATCACCAAGCAGAAAAATATTATCGTAGGCTCTATTACAGTTTAGTAGTACATTTTCAACAGTTTCGCACCACTATCCGGCCTTTGGTGGATTACATACCAACGCGCAAATAAACTTGAATGAGCCCATTTGCAATTCCACGAAAAGGTATTCTGCATGCACGACCCTAGGAGGTAATTTTGGCGATGATGCAACAATCCTCGACTTCAGGGACTCATGAATATACATAGCAACTCCGCCAATATAAACGCGGGCCCTCTCACGCAAAATCTTGTGGTGCTCAGGTGCTACTTCAACGATACTCGAGCGAAATTTGTTATTTTCTCATAGCGGAAACATTTAAATAACTTTTATTAAAGACTTATCACAATCAGGTAAATTTTGGTTAACGACGCAGTCAACTATATCAGACTCCTTTAATTCCGCCGGGATATCACGTACAATCAAGCGCGGATTCTTATATGCATTTACTTTAATTTCAAGTTCAGGGCACGCATTGGTAAGCTGATTTTTTATGACAGTTTCATTGAATGAATCGCCCTCTAAAATCACCGTGCTATTTCCTGAATATATTACTTTATTTACGTTAATTTTTAAATAAGATGGATTAATGGCTTTTTCGAGTGCATCATAGGTAGATTTTGAAGAAGCAAAATTCGGCCTAGCGTCATCACGTCGGCCGATTTTAATACGACTCGAGCACTGAGTACAAAGTGTTTTATCGCGATTCGACATAAAGTTTCCACGATTACCACGCTGCAAACCCTTAGATAATGCAGAAAAAGAACTTTCAACTGCCGAGAACACAATTTTAGTTGTAACAGCGCTAAAGCTGTTTGTTGTGTCTCGCAATTGTGCCTTGACACCTTAAACCTTCTCGTTTCCAAGCATAGTAAGCATTGCCTTACGATGTTTGCTTACTTCGTCAAGCATACTCGTGACGTCGCTATGCGAAATCAACGATGATTCCTTCACAGATGTGAAAGAACCATCACTGTCACCGCTTTCATCAGCACCGTCACTATTATAACCCATCACTCTGTTTACAAAGAGAAATAGCAACCACACGCGTGTATGATGAATACATCAACACAACTATAACCAAACCGTGCCAGCTCCTAGCCGACTAACGCATCAATACATACAAGTCAAACAGCGGATAGCACAGCGAAAAACTCCAACAACGACATCCATGGGGCCCACTGAGATCGCACTTGTGATTCAAGAAGAGGACAGGTCCATCGAAGTTGAGCCAGAAAACGAAAGCGGACGTCGTTACAGCATTGACAACACACACACACCAGTGCGCTCGGACAGCCTGCTTGGCAAAACAGTCGAGATTGTTAAAAATCTGCAACCTCTGCAGAAGATAACACTTATGCAGCAAGTAGAAGTAAGGGTGCTTGCAACGGGCCTGAAACAAACACGTCCTATGGCAGTGGACAGCAGTAAAAAGCCAAAAAAAGCAGAGCTAAAAATAAGAGCCTTGATCAGTTACTAACCTTACCATTCCCCTCTGGTGGCTGAAAAGCATGGTTTCTATCCATGCAAACTGTTAACTTGTTGTTTACGTGCTTTTCGTAATTTTTCGTTTTGTTCTGATATGACTGGCGTGCTTGTAGCCATTATACCCTTTAGAGAGCCTGGTTGTTTCATAATATAGCCTTATTTTTCGTCCGTATAAATATGGTCTAAATTGCTTTTTTGCAAATACAATTGCCAATAACTCCTTGTCTTATGTCGGGTAGCGGAGCTCGCTCCCTTTAAGGTAGCGAGGCGCTTACTCGCACGGTTTATATTTTCCGATCTCTTCCTGGCTAAGAATCACTCCAATCGTGTAATCTGATGCGTCCGTTGTAACAATAAAGGACTTTTCCAAATCTGGGGCAATGAGTACAGGTCCACTGCACAGTGTATCTACGAGAGTTTTAAGCGCCTGCTCCTTTTGGTCACCCCATTTAAATGCAGTGCCCGCCTTTAAAAGCCTTAAGAGCGGTTCGGCGATTTGTGCATAATTTTTGACAAATTGCCTGTAGTAGCCTACAAATCCTAGAAACTGTTTTACTTTCTTTATGTTTCTCGGTTTAGGGTAATTTCTAGCCACCTCAAGTTTCTTTGGGTCAGTCATTATTTGTCTATTGCCTACAATATAACCGAGCACTTTCGCTTTTTTTTTAAGAATTGACACTTTTTAGGTTCAATCGTGAGGTTTGCAGCTGCTAACCGTTTTAACAGTTTTGTGAATCGTCTCTCATGGTCCTCAAGGTCAGGGGCAAAGACCATTATGTCATCAAGATACAATTCTATTTTATGGCCTTGTAATCCTGTGAGTGCTAGTGCAATAGCCCTTAGAAATGTGTTTGGCGAGTCTTTGCACCCCATTGGCATTCTTTTGTATTGGTAGTGCCCGTCTGGGCCTGAAAATGCTGTCTTATGTGCATCGTCTTCGTGTATTTCTACCTGGAAAAATCCCGATTTGAGATCCACTACCATGATGTAACGTGCCGTCGCTCAGTTTTCTAAGATATCAATCTGAAACAGTCGCGGGTAACATGAGTCTACCGTAACTTCGTTTAGTAGTCAAAAATTTGTGACTATTCTCATCCTCTTTTTATTGTTTGGCTCCGGTTGTTTTGCCACTATCCAGGTATTCGAGCTATATGGTGAGGTAGAGGGTCCAATAATCTCTTGTTCAAGCATCTTCTTTATTTCGATTTTCATTTGATCACTGATCGCCAGTTGATATCTGAATTTTTTCGCGACTATGGGTTTATCCGAGGTCGTTATAATTCGATAATTCGATGTTTTAGTAGGTGTGTTGCCTTGAGAGGTTCTGCGTCAAGACCAAATACATAAGGGTTTGACTCAATCAGTCTTCTCACATGATCTATTTCTTCATGGTTGCAACCAGATATGTCTACAAGTTGCATTTTCTTCTGTACCCATTCTTGTTTCTCTAGCTCCTCTTCATCTCTTTCAAAACTTTCCATTTTTTCTTTATTATAATTTTTTTCCTTATTAAGTAGTCTTATCACTGTTTTCCCCAAGCTTTCAACATTGTCCCCTTTAGCATCTTCTGAGTACTCCCGGAGAATTTCTTCGTAATCAAGCAGTTCTACTTCCAGAACAGGCAAGTATTTTATCTAGTCACTCATATTAATGCATTCTGCAACTAACTTCCCTTTAATATTTCTGGCGATAAAGTTTCCAAATAATATTCCTTTTTCCATCTCTTGGAGGGGTATCCAGCCATTTTCTGCTTCATTCTTGCTTTGCGCATAAATTATCTGTCTCAATTTAGCAGGTATTTTAAAACACTTCAGCTTCAGCAGTTGAATCTCTACATCATCTTATCTAATAATATTCTCGGCGGCGCTTATCTGGCCCCAGTATCGCTTAAAAGTATCCCACTCTATGATTCCTTTCGTGTCACTTGGGAAGTCATGGGAAATGACATGTAACGTGCACTCCAATCCGTGTAACTGAGCCTGTACTGTGCCCAATATTTTGCGTGCTCCGTGAGTCACGCCGATAATAGCCACTCGATATCTACTGTTTATTGGCATGTCTGTGCTGAGAAAATATTCCTTTATAATTGAAATCTTTGCGCCTGTATCTGCATCAAAAGTCGTCTTTCCATTCTTTAACTGTGGTCCCCGTAGCTGGACCGATGGTGGCATATACCCTGTTCCCGAGAGTCTTATAGTTATTTTAGGAAGCTGCTCTATTTCTTCGTCACACTCAGAAAGTTTGGGTTCGTCATTCTCTACATTTGTGTCCGACACCTTTATCCGATTACTCTTTCTGCGGGCCCTCCTGCCTTTCCTCGTGCGTCTGCCCCCTCCCCCCTCCCGTTATGTAGAAGTGTTGTAGGGCAAGCGTGCTCGAGAGGAAGGGAGAGATAACCTGGGCAAAAGAAAGAGACGTTATTGCGTGTACTGTACTCTTGTTTATTGAACTGTGGTCCGACTGTTCAAGTCGGTAGGCGCAGTTAGACTGACTACAAGTGTGTAACCCACTCTCTCTCTCCCCTCTCCTAGACTCGTGATTCTAGCCTACACTGAGCTATGTGGTAGGGGGGAGTCCCTATAGTGTCTTCGCACTCTGCAGTATTGCGTTCTTACTCCCCCACACTGCGTAAGTACTCGGGCTGTTGATGTGCGATTCTGCCTCCACTAGTTTTTGCTCCGCCTTCTGCGGCCTCTTTCTCGCACGTTCTTTCTCGCTAGACACGATTCTCTCTGTCTCTTTCTCTAATTCATGTTCAACGTTTGAGGAGCACGCCGAACATCTTGCGAGTTTTAAGCCACAGGTGGGTCTCTTCTACTGCCAGGGGCGTGAACACCCTTTTCTTGCTGCTGTGGGCCCCTATCCTGTGGCGGCCCGTTTCCAATTAAACTCCTGTTATAACCATTCCTGCTGTCTTGATTTTTGTAGCCGTTTCCATAACGGTTGAACGTGCTTCTATTGTTATTATTATTTAAGTCTTCATTGTGGTGGTTGCCATAGTAAGTATTACTTGTGGGATTGTAGGCATTATACCTAATATTATAATTATTGTTTTTGTTATAAGGCTCCATTGGGCCATTGTTATGGTCCCTGTAATAATTGTTGTAATTATTGTAATTATGGTTATGAAAATTATCATTACCGTCTCCGTAATTATAGGCGTTTCTGTTGGCGTAGATATTATTCATGGGTTGGTTATACCCCTCGTTTCGTCGTCTCTCCTTTTCTTTCCTGTCTTGCTTGCGTGAGTAGCAGTGTCTCACATAGTGTGTCGGCTTCTGACAATAATTGCAATTCCCCTTGAGTTCTCTTCCGTTATCCCTTGAAGCCTTCTTATTGTTTATCACCGCTAGTCGCTTTCGGCATTCCTCGACTGAATACCCAGTTTGGCCGTCACAGTATATACAGCGTTTTTCGTTTGCTGCTGCTGCTCCTTGTACCCCATTGGTAATTTCTGTAATTTTTTCTCCTTTATTCGCCAGGTTTACTAGTGGCCTTCACTCGGTTCTTGTCTTATTGTATGCGGGCAGTGCAGTTACTAGTATAGCGTGCCGCAAACTAAGGTTGCTCTCGATTTTTAATGCCTCGATGATTGCTTCCCCTAGTGTTCCCGGGTTAGAGCTTGCCATTCTTGAACTGAAACTTGGAAGTAATCCATACATAAATTGTTTTACTGCCTCGGATTCCAAGTTTGCTTTCAGCGTCTGTTTTTGAATTGGGGGAAAGTATGGGTTCGAATCGTACGACATCGTTAATCTATTATACAATTGATGTACTCGTCCACCGTAGTCGTCTATTGCTTTGCTGTCTTGTTGTGTTATTATTTTTAATTTTGCCATGAGCGAGTCTGCGTTGTTAATGCTACAGTACCTATTCAAGAGCTCTCTAATAAACTCTTCAACTGTCCTAACTGCGTTAATCTCGGAGCGAAATGTTCCACTGCTTTTCCTTTCAGTATATTCGTGAGGCTGTCTAAAAAAAAATAATTATTTTTCCGGTCCTATTGTTTATGCAACCATTCACACCATTCTGTCGAACAGCGGTAGGTTGACTGGGTCCTCGTTGAAGTACGGGCTTTTGCCTGTCGTATAGCTGAGCGTGAGCAGAATGTTTTATTGCTCGTTCTGCGGTCTGCGTCAGTGGTTATGGTTATATGTAGCGTGTGTATCTTCTATATATTGGGCCGCGGTAGGTGATAAATCAATCCGTAGTCTATCCCTATTCGTATCCAAGTCGGCCCAATTTGTGTAGTTATCAGTTAAAGGTCGTACCGTTACCCTCAACGCGGCTTCTTTCTTTCTTTCTTTCAAGTTCCTCTCTCATATCTTTTATTCTGTCGCATAGCTGTAGATTATGTAAGTCTTTTATCCCGAGGTTTCTTGACCCTTTATATTCGTAACAGAATGCAACGGAAATCGGCCACTCTGGTTTCCCTGGCATGCCCCATTGCGTCAGTAGCACGTTTGTTTTGTCTATTCGAACTCCGCATATTTCTTCAGCTCTCCTCGCATTTTGCTCGTTGACTCGTTTTCCAGAAAGAAGACCCGCTTCTTCATTCATGCGTCCTATTTTTACGTCTGCATCACCAGATATATCCCTGTGATCCCTACCTATCGGTGGCAAATTTCGAATGGTCTCTGTGACCACCTTATGAGGGACATTCACCTCCTCTGCTTTCTTTAGCTTCACTCTAATTTTTGAAAATAAGCCCATCACTATTACTTTAGTCTTTTCGTCTAGGGCATCGAGTTTGTCACACCCTTCTGGTCCAAGCTGTAATTCCAACATTTGTTCTGTCATACTTTCCCTTTGTTGCTTTTTATTGGGCCCTGGCCTGTAAATTTCTGTTATTATATTATAACCCAGGCCTTCGTTATTGCTTTCCGACTCATGGGTCATATCGCTAAAATGAATCATTTTTCTTTCCTACTTTTTTTTTAAATATATTGTAAGTTGTATCGTCTTTTTTGATTATGCTAGATCTTGTGCATTCTCCTACAGTTGCGGGACTGCGTTTAATTACCTATCTCGCAGCTAAACAATAATCAGACGAGAGAAAATAAAACAAATGTAGAAGGCGAGGTAAGAGAGTAAAAGAGCGGTATTCGTCTCTCACTTAGTTTCTTTGATTTTGCCCTGTATTCTCGTTTAGTGGTAAATAAGGAAAAATATTTTTTTTAGAAAATTTGTCGTCTATTGTCGTTAAAAAAAATGATGATAAATAAAGTAATAAATTTTTCAGTAGATATGGATATGAGTTGAGATTTCCGGATGTTTTCTGTGTCTTTACTAAGCCTACTAATAAAATCCTTGTGATTTACGTTCGTTGTGCAAAAACTTTCCTAGTCCACTGCGTATTTAAGTCTGTTATCTCGCGTGATTTTTGTTTCGGGTTTTAAGAAAAGAAGATACTAAAAAAAAGGAGCGAACAAAATACTAAATACATATCAAAAATGAAAATTTCCTACGATCTAATCTTCGCCTAGTAAGTGCCTTCCCTATTTTGCCTCAGGGGTGAGGGATGAAATTAATTTTATTACAAATTACTTACGTGCTCGTCGATATGCACACCAATAAGAATATCATTTTGAAGATCATTTCCCTTCAGCGCTCGGCGCT